CCTTTCATCAACAAAAAGAAAAATTTGAACATCGATTTTTGGAGAATGTATTGGTTGTTTCTAAATATGCTGAAAATAATCATGCATTGTTAAAGTATGCACTTTCCCTAGTCTTCCATGGGTTATTATATGTACAGTCAGCACATCTTGCATCAAGCAGAACTTTTTTGAGCAGATGAAATATGCTAGTGCATGCTTTTAAAGCTGCAGCATATCCAGCATAAAAGCCTACATATTTTTTCAGTCATTGCAGTGCATCCGGTAGGCCTGGGTGATGTCTAAAAATAATTAGCGGGCTATTTTCTAGGTAAAAATCATGATTATTAATATGTTTATGTAATTTCTGATGTTGGGTTTCTTCCCATATAGCCCAATACTGGTCTGCCAGCAGCAGTCTGTACACTTGATCTTAGTTTTGCTGGACCTTGTTTAATCAGGTAGGACCAAACCGATATTCAATTTTTCCGACTGTTACTCATTTTAATTGCAAAAAAAAAGGCACCACTTTCCTGCGCCATTAACACATTGTTTGGGCTTGTCTTGTTGTGAATCCTCCCCTTTTCTGCGGTTCTTTTTCTCCAGTAACCCATTTCAGCGTGACAGGTTATGTAGTAACACCACACAGAAGAGTAATTAAATCGGAGAAAATGTGCAGTTTTGGCTTTTCGCAGTTTTTGCTATAGATGACAATAAATTGTGCATTTACAGCCTGTAAATCACTGCTTGTTAAAGTAATAAAATGGCAATAGCTAACTAATGAAGTCATTCTATATGCTACTGGTATTATGAATTGTATCTTATAATTATTAATGATAAGATTTCTATTATTAATTCCTCAAACACAGCATAGTAGCAGTTCACGGTCATTATAAGGCCCAGATATAATATTTTAAGTTTTATTGGCCTGATAGCATTACTGACACATGAGAAGAGAGACACGTTTCATGAGTGGTGAATTTGGGTTCATTTTTGCATATTCAGAGGCATATGCTTTCTTCATTAGCCTTCAATTTGCCCAACAATGGACTAAAAATATCTGAAAATTATTATTGTTTGCATCCAAAGCAGTCAGTTACCCCTTTTTTGTATGGACTGTTGCAACCACCATGAGAGTTTAGCAGTTTAGCAACTGTCTGCGAATAGCGATCATCAGGGTCCAAGTACTATGCGCCATTTTATGGGCCTTTTTAACAGAGCACAAATGATAGGCAAAGTGGCCTCTAGTTATAACAGATGTGGGGATTATGTCTGTCAAGTCTTTTACATTTGAACCTTTTGACTTTGGAATGGCAAGCAAGATTCTTACAAATAAGACGAAATACCTACAAAATAGTAACTTGTATTTGCATAGTTGCTGAATTCAACTAAATTCTATAGCAGTTATATTAGTGATTTGATACTGATAATTTAAAAGGACAGTATTATGAATAGTATGACTATCAGTCAGGTCCTACTGAAAACATGGTGAGGGTTAGCAAATTCTGTATAGACTCACACCTCTTCCATCTCTCACTGCGTAAGGTGTAGAGGCCATGTGGTTTGGCTCAAGTGGTTTCATCAACAAACTCTTTTGACTGGTGTCAAGTATACAGTTTGTGCTTGTGGACTGTGGTCTGACTAGGTAAAAGTGTTGGGTCTGTTTGGTTTCTTTCTCCTTTAGGGACTCATTAGGACCTAATGAACTGATATATAAAAGATTGTACCTTCATTGAATTGCCTAAGGCTAAGCACACCCACAACCTTTTAGCCTGGATTTCCAGGTCCCAGACAAATTTGCAAAATCATAAGGAAATCGGTAAAGACAGAGCATGCACTTCTTGTCAGCCAGAATTTACTTAAACATTTGTTTAAATTGAGGAGGTCAGAGTCTCCTGTATTTGTAGTCTGGGACTTTGGGCAAGAATATCAGATTGGTTTGATTTTGATTTTATCTCAGGTCTTTAGCCTTGGCTTTTGAGACTCCTGACTGCACGGTGACCTATCTTTCCATGTGGAACCATTGAATCAACAGCCAGTCAGCCATCAAGTAGGAATGTCCTGATCTAGCTTTATTGCCCTAACAGTACTCAGAGGAGTTTAATATCTGCTGATATAGGGTATTGATAAGATATTAATGTTTCTCTTGATAATGCAGCCAAAGAGTATATGTACTTCACGTACACGTGCCGTGACTCCATAGCCACACATTCGCATAGCATGCGACTAGTTTCAGCGGTTTTCTACTTATTTATTTATTTATTTATTTATTTATTTATTTAATTTTAAACAACACAAGGTGGCTAGCCTAACTCAAAACACTAGCATTGCAGATATTTATCTTCCAACAGTTGCACATTGCAGATCACTTATGTTGATTGAGCTCAAGCAGGTATAACTATAATCTCATTAAAAGTAAAGCTGCTGTTTTTGATATGATCTCAGTGGGGAAGACCTCCCAGACTTTCAGAGTATGGATTCCCAGTTGAGGGGGCATTTTCTTTGATTTTCCTTTGTGCTTGGGAACTTTTTGAGCTTTAGTCAAACAGCATAACACCTCTACACTAGTGGTGTAAATGGAGCGCATTGGAAATCTTTTACCAGTTTTTGTCTTGGATATTGGACAGGATACACTGCAGTAAATTTATGTAATTTTTTAGGATTTTTAAGATTTAGATTAAGGGTCCCTGTCAAGAGGTGCGAGGGTATTATCGAAGTTGTAGCTTGGATATGCTTTGTCTTATCTGGGCTTCAAACCACCTCTCTCAGTAGCACAATGTACAGTGAGTGCTCATTGCAGGAAGAGGCCCTTCACCTTTCTCTTGTAGGTTTATGTTCCCACAGCCAAGCACACAGCTTGGTTCACTGGCCTATGTTTATTTACAGCCTTAGACTGATTAGTCATCTTCTCATGAAGTGCTGCTGCAAAATATTAGAGTTTCTGGGCTGGTATTTTAGTTAAGTGCATTGGCAGAAGCAGAAGCAGGTAGTGGATTTTTTTTTTTATTATTCATTTAATTTTTCCAGGCCTTTTGTTGTGGTAATGTGGTAAGCTGTGGTCAAGGTCCAAGTCAAGGTCACAGTTTAAACAGTAGTGGAAAAACAGGACAGTGTTGAAGCCTGAGATTAGACACATGCACTAAAGGGTCTGACTGAGCGTTAACTGATAGTAAACTCAGGTGACATGGAAAATAGATGATCATGGTGGGCAGGTTATTTGGTGATAAATAAATAATGTGCCTGTTTTAAGTAGAGATGGTCGATACCATTTTTTCTTTTCTGATATCAGTGTTGAAACCATGAGTGTCGACCGATACCATTCTGTTTTTTTCTTTAAGAACTATTATGGTGAGTCAGTATAAAAGATCATCTGAAACTGATATCCGATTCAGCATTTTTTGTTCTTGTTGGCACAATAATGATATGCTGTCTATAGTTTTAAGCAATTATATGCATAGATCATGGCGTAAAATCCATGGAAATATTGTGTTCTTTAAACATTAAACAAAAATATCTAGGATTGGTCACACACCATGACAGTTCCACTAACCTGTGTCTGTTTTCTTTGCTGAGTCATTGGATCTTTTGTAAAGACCAAAACTGTGTTGTTACAGGCTTGATCCATGTATTCTTTAGAGCTAAATTGTTAGAAAACTGAACTATTTTCATATGTGTGCTAGAGTTTTAATCAGGCCTTAAATTTTGGTCTGAGCCTGAACACAGCCCGAGAACTTCCTATCAGAGTTCAAGTCTGACCTGACTTAACCTCAATAAAATGTTATTCCAGCCCCACCTGCACTCTGTTGTCATGTTTTGTGTCTGAAACTGGCCTGAGCTCAATAAAATTCTGTCTGAAACTGACCCAGACCAGCTCATCACCCAAAGTGCTGAATAAAACCTCACCTTTTGGTGATGGGACCAGTTAAATGACCATTTAGCAATGATAATAGCGGTCATTATGTTTTATTCATGAATAAAAAATTATATAAACTAATATAAAAAGCAGTCAGCTGTCCAAAGTTCAGTTGAAATTCCATTTTAGCAGATTGTTTATCAAGCAATGCTTTCAAACAACATGCCAAACATTTTTTTTTTAAAAATCTGGATAAACTTATTAAACTATGCTGTCCCCATGCTGTGAGGTTTTCATATAGCAAGAGGTTAGCCTTCACCTGTTTAATCCTAAGTCATTCTGTACATAATCACATCACATATAACATAAAATATGTTTTGGCCAAACAAATCAGATATTCTTTTTGGGTGCTCTGAACTGTTCTTTCCTAAATTGATTTGCTGTTTTATATACCTCTCGTCTATTTTCTCACAAGCATGGGCCTCATGGACATCAGTGCTACATTCTGTTAACAGCATGAGTTGGTGACTCCAGCATGCCAGATTAAAACTGTTTTAAGTTTCTGGTAAGGAAAGTAGGGGGGAAGAACAAAGTGAGGATGCAAACTAATGCGGGGTAAATGCATAGTAAAATCTGTTATAAGTGGGAGGCATGCTGTAGGAACCTCCTACGTGATAGAGGCTAGAGGCAGAAAAACATTCAGCAATGCTGTGGGCAGATTGGTTTCAAGGGTAAATAATAAAGGACAAATTTTACTCGTCTTTCAGACACTTATGTGTTGCATGTCTTTAGTTTCTGTATGTTGTCCCACTAGTATTAAGTGTGCGTCTTGCTGCACCGTGACTGTGTGTTGCTGCTGACACGGCTCATTCTCTGAGCCCTCTTTCTCCATCTGCCCTGCTATCAGTGTGGAGCTCACTCTGGCCTAATTGGGTTCTTCTTAAGCTGCTTAAAGCCTGCTCGAATTTGGGCCCCTATCTCTGTGCCAGCCTCCAGGCTCTTCTCTCTCCATGCACACAGCCCTAATCAGACCAAATGTGCTAATGAAGCTGTGTAGCTCTGCAAGTTTCAGTGTTTCTATGTTCTACAGTCGCGTGCTGTGGTTCGTCCCTGCAGCCATCAATCTTTTATTGCTGTCATTGCTAACCGCTTCCTGTTTTCTCTGCTCTAGTGGTAACCATGGGCCACGGTGTCGGCTGAGGATCTGGAGGGCTTTGCACACACCTATCGTGAGTAAACTGAGAGAATTCTCAGTCTGACTGTGTTATAATGAAGTACTTATATATCTGCTATGTCTTGCTAGGGGTTTAGGTACAGTTTTCTTTGTGGTGTTTTTCCCCCAGTCTGTAACTGAAGAATGAGCGCCCCCATTTGCATTACTATTTCTACCAAAAGACATACTTTGGTTGTGTTCTTAAACAACGTTTTATATTTACGGTAAAGGTGATTGTAAATAGGGCTACACAGTATGGATAAAATGGTAGCATCACAATTATATGGCAGTGCATTGTGATTTTGCTGCATCTTGCAACACAGAAGAATTGGAGACTCCAATAATGACACAGTTATATATTCGTTGTGTAGCTCACCAAAATATAGGCCTTAGCCTGTAGCAGAACCAAAAAAAGGTTCTGCTATTGTTACAAACCTGACATCGTAGCAATATAGGAACCCTTTGTTACTCTATAGAACCATTTTAAAAAGGTATGCTGTTCTCCATCAATCTGAAGAACCATTTCAACATGCAAAGAACCATTTAGGCTGCAAATTGTTCTATATAGACCTCCATGGTTCTACATAGAACAGTTGTCTTTACTGAAGAACCCTTTAACCATCTTTTAAGTGTGTACTACACATGAGTGTCTCTTTCTGACTCTCTCCCCCGTCTCAGCCACTCTTAGACGCTGTGGCTCTTAGAAGTGAAATAGCAAAGTGTCTTTAAATGTGTCCATTTCCTCTGATTCCTTTTGCAATGATGCATCTCTGAAGATGTCTCTCCCTTTTCAGCTTCCACCTCTGTGTATGACATGGCCACGGCCTCATCCAGAGCAGAGTGTAGCAATAACCACGGAAGGACGTCACAGCTACATGCCATTGGTAAGGACGGAGCATTGTGAAACAGACAACAGAAGTAAAGTTCTGCCAGAAAAGGAAGGGAAAAAAACTGATTTTGCATCAGTCTTGGACTGAAAATTTCAGTATAAGTTACAGTCTAATCTAAAAACGTTGGAATGCCCTGGCGAGTGTTGTGGGGGTAAATAAATAACCTGTGTGGCCTGCCAGCAAGTTTACTTGGGTTAAGCCTGGTATATTTTGCTTCAGTTTCATGTGCCAAACTCAAGAGGAAGAAGAACTGGTTTGGGACGGCCATTTATGTGGAGGTGACAGCAGAGGGAGAGAGCAAGAAGACAGCCAAGTCCCATAGCTCCTCCAGTCCCAAGTGGGAGGAGCGCCTCACTCTGTAAGAAACATTCTCCTCAAGTATCCCATTCCCAACCCAATTCCAACAGATCCCAGATTTAAGTTTTATCTGACGTTATTGACATTGCTGAGTATGCTGAACGTCCTACATATAGTTGAGTTTAACTCAAAGCACAAAAATTTGAAGCTTAAAGTATTAAGAGTACTCCACACTGCTGCAACTGTAGCATATGTGTGATTAAAAAACTAAAAAAAATGTATTTTTTTCTGTTTTTCACTGTATTTAGTTAGCCCCTTAAGCTCAACGCTAAAAGTATTTATCTTTGCTGTTTAATCTGCTCTTCTCCATTAATCATGTGATTTCTCGGTGCTGCTGTTGCATTTATTTTATTATGTAAAAAACGTAATTGAATCATACAGTGATGGAAACATGGTAGTACATGCTGAACTGTGTTTTGAGTAAACAGGTTTTCTGTCCTTTTGTAAGTAAAGGGAATTAGATATGAGATTGAAAAATTGCTAGAGCTTTCTTTTAAGGTCAGTTGCATTAGATATATAGAACTTTCTTTTGAGGGTCTGCAACCCCAGGTATGTCAATGATGTATTAGGTGAAAATTCTTCTCTGGTCATTTTGTACTAGAATTGTTTTACTTTTTTGTTTGAATGAGAACATCTTAAACACACACACACGCCTACACAGGCTTTATTAGAACAGTTGTGATATCTCTCTCTGGTAGTGAGATATCCCTTGCTGTACTTAAGCATGACTTGGCAATGATTTTCCTAGTATTTGTTTTTCTAAGAAGACCATGTGATGTTAGTGTGAAATCTGAAGAGGGAAAGCGTCCCACAGGCACACCTCACCCTAGTAGGATGTGTGTTTATATTCCTCAAGAACTCTGAAAGATTTTATTAATCACCGAGGAAAACAATTTATGGATGCACTGACTGACATTCCAAGTCATAGCCTTAAGAGCTGTTGACATATGTGTAGTATTTTTTATGCCTGTACATAAAGTCAAGCAGGTAAAGCACCGAAATACATGAACTTGTAGGAATGATGCATGAACCGTGCAAGGATCCATGAATGTGATATATAAATAAATATATATAAAAGCACTGAAGTTAGACATGAGTCAGTTACCAAGCATTAAACATGACATTAAATCACATCTGTTTGGACACTTTTAATGCTATCGGCAAAGTCAGCAATAGGACTTCGTTCAAAGCACAAATTTTAAGGAGAACTGAAAGTTCTGGAAGGCACTTGACGAACAGATTTGCTTTGCGGTCTGTAATAAAGACAGCTCTCATTTCACTGGTTAAAGCCAGTCTACCAGCGGCTGTCAGATGTTGTCAGAATGAATTGTGTAGGATGGGGGACTGTTATTTCTCAGCTGCATTTCTCAGAAATGTACAGGTCAGAATTCTCTGTGCAAACACCTCCACCCACTATGAAGGAAATCCAGCAGGGCTGCAAAAGGCTGCTGGCACAGCAAGGCTGTGCTGCTCAGGCAGGGAGGGGGATTGGCGTGGAGATATTTTGCAAGTCATCGGTATTGTATTCTAATCTCGTTTTTGGCGTAGATCCTTGTGGCGTTTTTAAGCCGCCTTTTGACAGAAGCCTTAGTCTGAGGGAGTCCCTGTGTTTGTCTGGTGTGAGAGAAAACTGCAGCATTAGTTAGTCACTGCTGCAGTTTGGCATAGGGCTCTCAATGCATCAGTAGCATAATTAACATCAGATTGTCATAGACTTTGAAGTACCCCACAATTTAATTTGATTCATTTTCAATTCAGGGTTTCAGAATGCAATTAGAAAACAGACATATCTTGATTTCTGATTTCGGTTACATATATTTTTCATCTTCACTAACATTAGCTTAGTTCAAGTAGCCCAAGTAGCCCATGGACATCAAGATTATTACGTCTACGGGTGTAGATATATATGTTTCACCATCTGTTAGATTTAAACTGAAGACAAGATAAAACTACATTTTTTTTTTGTTTGATTTTTCTCTTGCATTGTGAATACCACAGCCTATAGTGTTCAGTATTCATCAGAATACTGCAGTGCCTGACAAATGGCATTTTCCAGTTTAAACAAAAAACATTTATGCATAGGCCTAAAGGTAAAAGTCTAATTAAGACATTTTGTGCTTTAATGCAGTCGATTATCCCTGCCCCCCTCACCACTCGTTTTTTTTTTTTTATTTCTTTAAGGATGGATAGTATGGTCTATTTTGATAGATTTGGTGTGCTGCCCATGGCTTGTCACAATACCTGCACAGTGCTCAGACTGAAATAACTTGGAGCAAATCTACCATCCATGTGTCTTTGCCTCTGGGTGCTCTCTGCTCATCTGCTGCTGTGTTTGGGGACAGGTTGGTTCTGCAGGCAGTCAGACAGAGCTCCGAGCAGCTGCTGATGGGAGCTGTAACTCCAGGCTCTTTTGTAGCTGTTGATTGAGCTAATGGGGGAGAATGAGAGGACGATGATGGAGGGGATAGGAGAAAGCGCTGCTGTTTTGCCAAAGCCCCTGTGTGCTGAATACTAACTGCCATGCTCATCTGCAAAGAGCTGGGAGGGAGGGAGACAGCCAGAGAGAGGAAGAGAGAGAGAGTTTGTCCTTCTGACAGATTTAGAGGTGTTTGGTCAGACATAATGGTGGTTAATATGCTGTGTATTGGTGAATTAATGGTTCTGCACTGTTGGCAATCTGGTCCCAAGCAGAAAATTGGAGTGACTTTTAAAAGAGAGGCTATTAAAAGGCATCTAGTGATGGACTGATCTTATATACTGGGGCAGATTTTATACTGTTTCTTAGTCATGGTTGTAATAAAACTGTAACTCTGCAATTGTGTCAACGCTCTAAAACAATATAGTTAAACATTTGCACGATAAGAGCATATCCATTATACTGCCTTAGTCTCGATTGTACATTTATGTTTATATACTTTGCTACAACTAAACTCAAGTGCCCTAACAGAGCGCCGGTAGCAGATCGGTACTCTTGAGTCAGCCAGTACCCTGAGTTCGGGTAACAGATCGATTTTAGGACAGAAAATGTTGGGTCGGTGCTTCCCTACGCCCATCCTCCTCTGTCTCTCACCTCTGTGTCACTGGAGAGCCTCAGCCTTAACGCTGCAGAGGAGAACTCCGGAGACAGGAGTGTGAAATTTGATTAGACTCGTTGTCTGTGACCGGTCTCCAGTGAACAGATCGATCAGGGAGACCGCTTTGGGATCACTTGAGAAGGGATGCTGAAATGGTTACTGTGTGACACTCATGCAGTAGTCACAGTCTGGACCACTCTATGATGTGTATCATAACATTATTGGGGTGTAAGTAAAATTGTGAGATTGGATGATGGTATATTGCACACAATCACAATCCTAGCAATTGCCTATTGATAATATTGTGGTAGGCATGGTGGCAGGCAAGAGGTTGCAAAAAAAAAAAAATCCCTTTCCCATGGTGGTCTGTATCATGAGAATGTATCCATATGCACCGTCAGCATACAATCTGAGCATGTTTTCAACGCACAGAGGAGAAAAGAACCACAAGTTTTGACTGAGAAGCAGCTCCCAACTGGAGTGCTACTTGGTAGATATCCACAGTACTTCACTCTAGTAACCCATTTCTGCACAGCAGGTAATTTGGTAATGCCACAGAAAAGCCTGCTTAAACCAGAAAAAATAAACATGCTCTTTTTTTTTCTATTTAGAAAAATAAAAGTCAGCTTTACTATTAGCGAAGGATGCAGTAAGGCAAAAATATCACAATACTTCAGGAAATTCTAACAATTAAGGATTTGCTGTGATTTAATTTTTTTTCTGACATCTTGTTAGTTGGAACGGACAAGAAAGAAGCAGTAGCCCTGCAGTTTAATAAATTCTGTCAAAAACAGTGAATACAGATTTGGATTCAGCATTTCACATCCTGTGCTGCAGTAAATCCAGATAGGTTCAAGGGAAGATGTTCCAAGTTCAACAAAGTTCAAACAAGTTCCACAGCACAACTTTGTTTAGCAAGCATAGCCATGGTAAGCCAGAGAAGTGCTGTTTCATGCTGATAGATGTTTTGAGACCAGACAACATATTAGGGTTAATATAGGACATAAACTATACCTTACGTTAGTGCAGCGGTGTCGGACTCTTAACACTATAAGGGCCATTTTAAAAAATCTCAACAAATTTGTGGGCCGGATGTGTTTTTATTTCGTTTTTGCTTAACATTTTGCCATGACCTGAACTGGCCATTGTTTATTCAAAACATGCTCAAACTGCAACAGCAAAATAGGCACTGAACGCTTAAACTATTCAAAAATAATTTTCAATGAAAACAAATTTTGTACAAAACAGTAAGCTACAGTAGCGACAGGTAACTGTTAAACCTCTTTAAAAGACCCCAGAGGGAAGTTATTTTAAAACTGCTCGTTTGCATAAACTAGACACATCTTTTTGTGTAACCGCTGGCCCATATACTGTTGTTGGAGGAAGGAGGTCGGAGAGCACATTATGTTGCATTGTAGCTCACGGTGAAATGAGCTAATATTAATAGAAAATTAAAATAATTTTGCGGGCCAAATAGGGTTGTGCCATGGGCCTGACTTAGCCTGTGTACCTTGTTTGACACAAGAGCTTTAGTGCATCTTAAGGCTGTGGATGGCGTGTTTTCTGATGTTTAAATCTCCCAGCTTGATGTCTATTGTGATGGATGCAGCCTGTCTGTGGTTCATGATATTAACGTCAGTCAGCTCATGCCTTTGTGTAACAATACTCAAGTTTCACAATACTGTGTATACTGTGGTTTTCAAAATACGAAAGTAAAAGTAAATGCCAAAATTCTTTTGTCGTTCTTTTGCATTGTCTTGCATCCATTATCTAGTATATAAATTTGCAAGTCCTTACACTTCTAAACACTCTTCTTGGTTCAGTAGAAGCTATCCACTGTCACCAAAGACCTGCATCATTTACAACCTTACAGAAATCTCCAAACACACAGCATGCCAACTCTGATCACAACAACCTAATCTTCATTCCACATCTCGCATTTTTTCTGCCTAAGGCAGCTAGCAAACAGTGTTTCTGCATTTCATTCAAGATGCTCCTGCTGATAGCTGTCAGTGCTTGTGTCTCCTGCATTCTTATGATACCTCTTCCGTGCACTTACCTGTGTGTGTGTGTGTTTGTGTATGTTTGTGTATGTTCCTGCAGGAATGTAACACCACACACACAGTTGGAGTTTAAGGTATGGAGTCATCACACTCTAAAGGCAGACGCACTGCTGGGGAAAGCCACTCTGGACCTGCAACAAGCCCTGGAGCAGCACGATAGGAAACGTATGATACCAACACAAACACATTAATGCCCCACAGTTCAGACTTTAGGATATGGAAATGCTTAAACTGATAGATCAGGTGCAGTTATCATCCTCTCCACAAACTGATAGAATTATCTTAGTGCATTATAATAGGACTGATTATTTGCTGACACATTGTAACAGTAGTATTGTATTGGCCTTACATAGTGACTCCATTGGCCATTTACCGTGTTGTGAATTTAATTAGTTGCTGACTAGGTTTGGGTTTGTTATGACAATCTTGCTCTGCACAGAGGTGAGGATGGTAGGGTGAACATCATGTTTCACTGAACTTTCTGGGAAGCTCTGCACCATTCAGTAGAAATGTTACCCCTCATTTTCACATGCACCTTCTGCTCTTATGGGAAATCTGGCAATAATGTGATGGCACTCTGAATATTGGTGTGTGCATGCAGTTGAGAATGTGAAGGAGGTGCTGAAGCTGACTCTGGAGAATAAGAACGGAGTGGTGGCCTCTGGGGAGCTCACAGTCATCTTGGATGGCCTCACTGTTGACCAGGAGCCTCTGCATAATGGTAACGGCACCACTACAACCAGTGAGTATTTGTCAGTATGTCAACAAATTCTCAGACTCTGTGTCACACTCTAGGCTTTTTTTTTTTTTCCTCACTCTGTCACTCACTCTTTTTTTTATCTCAGTCTTGCAAGAGTGCAGCACGCCCTTTGGTTAAACTGCTCTTTGTATTTATCTTCTAATAGAAGTACAGCAGAACGGAGATGCAATTCATGAGAATGGGGAGGAAAGCACCACGAGGGCCCAGAGCAGGTGAGAAAACTCCATTCTTTTAGAGCTATCATACACTACTATTCAGTGCTCAATGAAAGTACATCCTTAAATTGAAACAAAAACACATACGCTTTACTTTGTGTGGTTTCCATAGGATCACTGGCCATGTGAGAAACCACAATGCAGTGTACTGCGTTACGTCAGTGTGGTGTGACTAAATTTGTCCTCATCCTTGAGGCTGAGAATGCAGCAGTGCAACTTTTTCCCTAGTGATTTTTAGCTTTGGCAGCAGCAGAGCTCCTCTTTGCCCTCTGTTATTGTCTTGAAGTGATTCATTCATTTCCTCTTCAGGCAAACAGGTGCCTGTAAACCAGCTAATGCCAGCTGTCATTGCCGCCACCCCAGTTCTGAGAAAACTCCCTCAAAGGCCATCATGGTGTCATTGGTTAGATTTAGCTGCTCTTGCAGGCCTTCAGAGTCTGAAGTGTTTTTATATGGGAAACGGTTTCACGCTGTGCTTGAGGCGTCAGAGGAAACCGACTGCAATTGTGACAGTCAGAACTTGCTGTTCCATGCATTGTCGTTACTTGTCAAAGTGTCAGACCAGTGCACCCTGCTGCCAAAACATCTCTGCTCTGAGCCCCACCAGGATGACCTGAGGTTTTACCTGTAACACCTAACTGCTAGTCATGTATGCATCTTTGTAAAATAATGGTCGATATGTATGTGTATGAGGATGTAGTTTTAAGGGGTCATATACTATGTTTTACATGTGTGTAATGTGTATATACCTGATAAGACTGATGTATGTAAATGACCTCTGTTATGATTGGCTGTCCTGTGTTGTACCATGTGTAGGAAGTAGTCTGGGGCACTCTGGTCAAATTACGTGTGATTTTGAATTTCTAAGTAAAAAATAAGATTTTCTGCACATTTTAATGCACAATATTTTTGATTTACTGAATTTGAGTTGTTTTTAAGTTAGGACACTTTAAATATTGTTTTATTCTTTACAATATGTTCAACTAATTTTTACTTAATTTCACCAAAACATGTAATTCGAATCATGATGCTTAAAGTTTTGCATATTTACGGAATGTAAAAACTAGGGAGAAAAGGTACATTTTCAAAGGTGATGCTTACATCCAACAGTTTTCAGTTCTTTGAACTTTTGGAAAGTAAATCAGTAAACTCTCTGTAAAGGATTTTGGCCTGGTATGCATGTCCCTGGTACAAAATTGCTAGCAGCAGCTTTGAAGAAGCACTGTTTTGAAGAGAGACAGAGTCTCCTGCGTTCTGTGCCGATTCATCTTCAGGGCTGCCCTCCTGCTTCTGTGTTGTGAATAACAATAGACTCAATATCAGGCTGGCGAATGCGTCATGAGTGCCCTCTCTTCTCTTCTCCCACTTACAAAGCCAAAATGCATGCCGCCTCTTCCTCGAGCACTATGAACAAGCCAAAGGCCGCCTTCCTCTGTGCCGTGTGGCTGCAGTGTGCATGGCTGCATTTTTTTAGAACAGACTACTTTGATCTGGCTGCCAAGTCTAGCTTCAAATGTGTGGTCTGGTCATTTGTCTAAACAAAAAAGCAAACAAACATGATCAACCTGGTTTCTAACTGTGGTTTGGACCATATTCATATAGTGGATCATTTCAGCAGACCCCTAAGGAAGAGACTCAAATGTAGGTTAAGCATTTTACCTTGGTGTTTAAATGCAGCTGCTAATGGACATTATCATTCGTGTTTTTAGGCCTTTGATGAATGGCAATTTTTAGACTGGTTGTATGTTTTCCAGATATTTGATACAGAAATAGGTGTAAGTTGATATTTCTAAATCTACTTTTATACAGGACATGAATGTACAAGTAACCGCAGCTTCATTCAAATCTGAGAGTGAAAGATGCATTGGACCTGTGAAAATTGACCGTTAAATGTTGGTCTTACCTTTACAGTTTAGCACTGTCAGCTCTTGACCTTTTATCAAGATATGAGATATGAAGAGAACTATTCTTTAGCAAGTCAGGTCATTTGTACTGACACTCCCAGCTCTGTGTAAATGCCTCTGCTTTTGTGTTTGGTGCATCATGCAGCTCGGTGAATGGCACAAATGGAGTGGAAAGTGAGGCACCATCCACCTCCTCTGGCAACAGCGAAGGCAGCTCTGTCCCTGTCATCAATGGTGATGGAGAGTCTACGCCTACACGTCAGATTACAAGCCCTAAGGCCACGTCCATCCCGAACCCTGCAGACAGGGACGTAGCCAGTACGACTGGTAAGGGCCACTGCATTTGTGTGCTGGGATACTGTCATATGTTTGCATTCCACAGGTTTCAGAACTGTTATAAAGGTCACCACTGATGAAACTACAATTTTATTTATTCAGCACAAGCACCTGTATCGATAAAGCAATAGATTGTAGGTAAACTAAAAAGTCAGGCAGCACAAGCACAATTAGCACAAAGGACTTTTATTTTGACATGCTTTTACAAAAGGTATTGGGTCAGAAAGAAAGACCCCATGGTGCCCTGCCAAGGTCAGTAATCCTTTCACAAATTTTGAAAAAAAGAAAAAAAGGCCTTTTTGAATTGTGGTTAAAATGGTTAGCCGTGATTCGGTTTACCATGATTCAGTTCACCCCCCCCCCACACACACACACACTTTTTTATTTTTATATATATATATCTATTGTGTGTGTGTGTGTGTGTGTGTGTGTGTGTGTGTGTGTGTGTATATAAATTATAAAAAACAACTGTACAATATAGAGAAGCCTGTGGTCTGTTACATGTAAAGCACTCAGCAGCTTCTCTGGTTCATCACATTACTCACACACATCTCCAAGTGTCAGACTCTGCTGGGGTTCAGTGAATATTTCACTCATTAACACAGTCATTAGCGTTTGAGCCATGAATTTCTCTACTTGATTGATGCAACAGGCCATGAGACCCTGCTGCTGCATGATGCAACTGATCAGTGGAACTGCACCACAGGTGTTGCTAGTGGACACACAAGGCTAGCTAGCGAGCTGATGGCACTAAAGGCTAAATCAAGACTAAGGGGCTGTTCCTTCCGTATGGCTCTCTAATGTTCGCTCCGTTGATAACAACCTGGACTAACATTAATTCAGGCTGTGTTACTCAGCCGTTCAGGTAAAGAGTTACCATTAATGTGTTTTACACTGTATGTTGCGTTATCTGATGTATTTGTCACATATCAGTGAAACCAACTCTGAAGGAAGAATTCTAACTGGTATATCGCCCACTACGACTGCCTTTCCATGAAATACTGTCGTTGCAGATTTTGCCATGAATATTTTAACTGCTGCTTGTCAACCCACACTGCCAGCATGTTGTGAAGCTCCGTCTACTAGCGCACATGCACACGTCAGTAAACTTGTGCGTCAAAAGTTACTTTGTGGCATCCGTAGTAGGTATCGGTATCCCTATCACCAATTGGTCCAACTCTGGTATGTGGCAAACCTAGCACTCCCTCATTTTCCCCAAAAAATGTTGAAGCTTTGCAATATTGGCAATGTTTATATTGTGTAAGATGATGGGAGTTTCTGCTGTTTGAGTTTAGAATTTGATGATTTACCACCCACTGTTGACATCTGGCTGTCAATTATATCAGTCAATAAAGCACTGTTTAAATTTCATTTAAAGTATTGAAGTTTGTTCAGTTTGTGACTATATGAAGTGATATTAGCCAAAACTAAAAAAACCTTTTTTTGGCCCTGTGCGTATAGGTGGGAACAGAGGAAGGGCATGATTGTATAAAAGAAATGCACATGTATGATCTTTTTCAAATTGTAAGTATTTCAGAGTGAACAACCTAAAATGACACATTTTTGGTGCTTCTCATTTGACCAGGTGCAGGCTGAGTGATTGAGCGCTCCACACCTATTAAAGGCTTGATTAGCTCCTGCTTTAATTGACTGCTGATTCTCACCTTCTGCAAAGTGTTGCTCTTTGATGGAGATTCTGGTTAATCTTGTCTCAGTTTGATGACCGTGATTAGCTTATTTAACCTTCTGGTATATAGTCAGGGCATGATTGTATAAAAGAAATGACTACTGCATTTAAATCTGAAATTACTGCATTGAAGTACTGCATTCAAATCAGAGAGAAAGAGAAACATCCTAATATGGTGCCTCAAGCATACAAGGGCTTGGGGCCTTTTTCCTTTTTTTTTCTTATTTTTTTTAAAACAAGGAATATTAGGAAATACTATAACCAGGTATAATATCCCAGCAGAAACATACGGTGAACCTTAGGACTCATATCTAGGAATCGTCCTGAAGATTTGCAAGTCACTTAACTGAGCCTGAACTGATAAATCGTACCTGGCTAAATGCAAGGGTCTCAAACTTAGTGAGTCTTTTATATCTAGACTCTATATTTAGACATCTTCATGAAGATTTGCAGGTTAGTCTGCTGTTTCTGATATTGTTTAACCAAAAAACCTATTTATATCGTATATCAGTGTGTTGTTTCTGTGCTGTGTTGTGACGCTTCTATTGTGGTACATGTTGTGAAGTTTTCACTCCATAGTGATTGTGTATGTGTGTGGAGAGCAGAGTAGAAGATTTGCTGTTTTATTAGATGGAGTCCCTGCTGGGGCTCATTTTCATTAAGGTGCCTGCTAATCTATACTGCTGTCAGCACCTCTGCTCAGCTGAGTTCTGAGAGCAAGCAGCCAGAACAGGTCACACCAAAGACACTCGCTCAGGGGTTTGGTCTCCATGATTGGCATTTCAAGGGGTGAGGGAGGAGAGATTAAAATGAGATGAACAATGTTTAATGGGGAGCTAATTTAAGTATAGCTATTGTTGGATTAAATCTGTGGGGATAGAATGAAACTCTTGCTGAATGTGTTGGTAAGACATCTCAGTTCAAATTCTCTCTCTCTCTCTCTCTCTCTCTCTCTCTGCAGTTAATGGGGAGAATTCTGCTGCTGCTGCTTCCTCTTCAGTTGAGGAGGTGCTTCCCCCTGGTGGTGGGAGTGAGGAAGGCAGTGAATCTGCCTCTTCTGTGTCACCACACCAGCCTGCTGCCCCCTCCAACACGCAGCCCACCAGTGCCACTACCGCCGCTGCCTCCTCTTCTTCCTCTTCCACATCTACACCTTGCCAGGCAGCAGCAGCTGCTGCTGCATCCTCCAGCTCCACGGCAGATGCTGCCGTGGGCAACAGCACAGCCACGGATGGAGCCAAACCTCGCCAGCAAGCCCCTAGCTCTGGCATTTCAGACCCCTTGCCTCCTGGGTAGGATATGTATGTTGTCACAACATGTTCACTGAACAAGAATTTTGAAATGCCACAATTTTTGCTTTTTAATGTACACTCAGTGGCTACTTTATTTGGTGCACATAACTTGTAATTAGAAAAAACGTGTAGATTATAATCAGTTTCTTTATCTGCAAAATTTGTGAGCTCCCCCTTTATACTGGGCAAGCCTGATCAAGCAGGGGTATATTAAACTGATGAAACTAGATCAAAGTTACTCAATCGTTAGCAGCAGACCTAGTTTCATGTTCTGATGCTAGACTGTACACATCAACCAGTTGCTTACCATTTTGTAGCAATACATGCTGGGTGAGAGTATAGAACAGTTGTGGTTAAAATTACAAAGCCATGTAAATGCATTACTTTAGCAAGAGAATAAAACAGCACTATGATTAGACCTCATGACTTCCACCCCTGACATGGCGATATTTTTATTTATTTATTTTTATTTATTTATTTTTTATTTTTATTATTTTTTTTGAGGTTTTAAGTTTTTGAATTTAATAACTGGCAATCATAAACCTTTGTTTATTAACAGAATCTGTGTTGTGCTGTACAAAATTTGCATGTCTGTCAGGCCCTAATTTATTTGCTTTTCACCTCATGTCCCTTTTCCTATAGATGGGAGCAGAGGAAAGACCCACATGGCAGAACTTACTATGTCGATCACAATACAAGAACCACAACATGGGAAAGACCACAGCCTCTGCCACCAGGGTCAGTCATCAGCCTAACAGCACTATTAATGATGAAGCATCACTTTTGACACATGGCCTGAGTGTGTGAATGATGACTGAGTATGTATGCTGTGTTGTGTAGTTGGGAGAGGCGCGTGGATGACCGGGGCCGGATCTACTATGTGGACCACAACACGCGGACAACCACGTGGCAGAGGCCCACCATGGAGTCAGTGCGCAACTTCGAGCAGTGGCAGTCCCAGCGCAGCCAGCTACAGGGAGCTATGCACCAGTTCAACCAGAGATACCTCTACTCGGTACAGATAACCACAAAGACTTGTACAACCCAGTGGTCTTACGACATGCACATCTTCTGAACTTTAATTTAGAAACACAGATATGCATTTATGTATGCACATGTATGATTTTTTTTTCAAATTGTAAGTATTTCAGAGTGAACAACCTAAAACGACACATTTTTGGTGCTTCTGATAGCCATTTGACCAGGTGCAGGCTGAGTGATTGAGCACTCCACACCTATTAAAGGCTTGATTAGCTCCTGCTTTAATCGACTGCTGATTCTCACCTTCTGCAAAGTGTTGCTCTTTGATGGAGATTCTGGTTAATCTTGTCTCAGTTTGATGACCGTGATTAGCTTGTTTAACTTTGAGGGACCTTCTGGTATATAGTCAGGGTGCTGAAGTAGCACAGCTAATGAGGAGGACAAGCAGATAGAGCTCCTGCAGTTGCCTCAGTTAAACTGGAGTATATTTTGTTTAATGTCGGTCTTTCTTTCTCCTCCTTTCAATATGTTTCTGGTCCGGTTTCGGATACAGGCTTCAATGATGTCGGCAGAAAATGACCCCCTGGGTCCGCTACCTCCTGGTTGGGGTAAGTTGCTGCTTTGCCTCATGTTCAGGCTCAGACAAGTATGAGAGGAGTGTTTCTGTACTAGTTGTTTGTTTGTGAGTAAGTAGTAATTTTTGATTCTGCCTCTTTTTCTCTTCACCAGAGCGACGTGTGGATTCAAACGATCGGGTGTATTTTGTCAATCACAATACCAAGACCACCCAATGGGAAGACCCTCGCACACAAGGGTGAGTCCTCAGCTAAAAAAAGAGAACATTTTAGCAAGTTGATCACAGTACCAAGCTGAAGTGTTCTGTCATGCACCAGCAGCTTCAACACTTCAAATGAAAGACATTTCAAAGGAAAAAGACTTCGTTTGAACAAAAAAGACAGTGTGGATTGTCTTAACACAGTGTGGCGTACGCAGGCTGCCAAATGGAATTCCTAAACATTGCATTTTTTTTTATTTATTATTTTTTTTGTGCAGTGTGAATGGCTGTAAATTTCACATGTTCTCTTGCTTCAGTGGACAGAAAACTATTCGATTTCCACATGCAAATTGACACACATGGTGTCATAGAAACATGTTTTTGTGATTTGAAACATACAGCCAAATGCACAGAACTTTTTGGTCATAAAGACCAATTCGTAAGGCACTTAAAGGATCATCATGTCTACTGCAACAACACCTGACTCTATTTAATTATTTCTCTCTTTTAAGGATAGTCATTTCTACTACAGAATCTGAACAACTGTATCAATTATTTTCTCTCTCTCCTATCTGTAGGCTGCAGAATGAGGACCCTCTTCCAGAAGGCTGGGAGATCCGCTACACGCGGGAAGGAGTTCGCTACTTTGTGGATCACAACACCCGCACCACCACGTTCAGTGACCCGAGGACGGGCAAGTCCTCTGTGTGAGTACATGCTTGTCCTCTGTCCTCTCACCTAATATTCACAGAGCTCTTTTGATGCATTTTGTTTTTTAACCGTTTAAAATGATTTGTGTGAGCTTTGATCAGTGCTTCCTCTCATATGTTACCTCTGCTACATGTCTTGCAGCACCAAAGGGCCCCAGATAGCGTATGAGCGTAGCTTCCGATGGAAACTAGCTCACTTCCGCTACCTGTGCCAGGTAATGGTCATTGTAATCATGCCTGTCCTCTGCATTTGGATGCCATATTTAGCACATACAGATTCCCTTTTCCCTTCAACATCACAACCTTTGGTTTCTTTTTCTTCTCCAGTCCAACGCACTACCCAGCCATGTTAAGATCACAGTCTCTAGGCAGACGTTGTTCGAAGACTCTTTCCAGCAAGTAAGAGAGTTTTCCCACTTCTCCCTGTATGTGAGCATGAGCATGTTCACAAATCTCAAATATATAGCAGTTGCCAGCACAAGCACTAGCTGTGCACCCAGGGAATGCCATATTTGCTCTGGTTATTTGTATAGTTTCAGGTTAATTGTTCATCATACAAGTGAAGCATCTTTCTGGTTCCTAGGAAGAATTTGCAAGATGACTGTATGTTGTGCATTCGTTTGCGTGTGTATTCACTCATGGGTTAATTATTATTTTCCAGATAATGGCTCTGAAGCCGTATGATCTTAGGAGAAGGCTTTACGTCATTTTTCGAGGGGAGGAGGGCCTGGACTATGGAGGCCTTGCCAGGTTTGTTTAGACATGCTTGTAGAGTCACACGGCCCACACCACAATATTGTTTTTAATGTTCTAAATGATTTACATCAGCATGTGTCGTCTTTTTCAGTAGGACTGTTGAACATTTGTTTATTTCCTAACACGAGTCTGTGTGTTTTGTTTGCCAGGGAATGGTTTTTCCTCCTCTCACATGAGGTCCTGAACCCCATGTACTGTCTATTTGAGTATGCCGGCAAGAGCAACTACTGTCTTCAGATAAATCCCGCCTCCACTATCAACCCAGACCACCTGTCTTACTTCTGCTTCATTGGCCGCTTCATCGCCATGGTAAGTGCTTTAATCTACTCACTCTGCTTCCTCACATTCAAATCACTGAGTAACACAAGGTCAGGACTAAAACCCTTAATCCATATGAAAGATATAAAATGTAATTTCATGTTTTTGATCACACATTAAGAGTGAATTCCACCGTTGTTTTTTAAATTTCTGCATAATAAAGTTTTTGAGATGCAAATGAAGTCTTTCAGCATGGTTTGATGTGAAATGGCTCATTGTAGAGAAGTGTAGCAATATGGTTTTCTTTACAGTGGTGGTGATAGGAACGAGGGATAGCGATGTCAACAATGCAAATATAGGCATTTTATTTACTGTCCAAAATGACTAGTAAACCTACATGTCTTCTTTGTTTGTATGTCATGTTGATGTTTTAAATCTGAAAACAAAAAAAAAAAGGTTTTCAGTTGGAAATGTACTGCCATTGAACACACTCCTTGTACCCCTCCACCACGAATGTATTAAAAAATGTTTTAGGCCAAATCCTTCTGTGAGGAAACTTTCAAGAAGCATTAAACTCTTCAGACATCTGGTTTCTGTGACAACTGTTGTGAAAAGTTCTGACTTGGCAAGTTTCTCTAGAATGTAGCATTTCACAGCAAACCACTCGGAATGACTTTTTACATCTTAACTATTTAATTATAGGGAAATTTTGAAAAATCTCTGGAATTTCCCTTTACTGATGCATTCTTTTGCTTTTATTTAAATAGTGAGTCTCTTTTTCAACTGTTACATGTATTTTAGCTCAGAAGATCGCGATTAGTATGCAGTATGCCTAGGGCCATCAGTAGGAGCACCCTAAATATAAACATACAAATAATAAATATAATTGTTATAATCATTTACAATTATAAATATAATATATAACAAATAAATAAGAATTAATGAATTGCCTAAATCAGAAAACAGAATAAAGGGAACTTGGTGGTAAAGCCAGAAATGCTTCTATGAAGTTTCCCCAAAATTGAGTCTGTATATAGGTAATTCACATACCTTTGATCAGTCACACTCTGCTGTTTTAATCAAATGCATCTATGCATATGTAATGATGCATGTAATTACATTTAATAACACTGCTGTAATGCGGAATAAAACAAATTTTACTCTTCATAAAACAGCTTTGAAATTGGTTTTTGATTCAGTTAAGAAGTTATTTGCAACTCTATTCACTGGACTATTACCAGATATGGTAATTAGCCCTGGGTGACAAAATAATTAGCCCTATATTTTCTACTTAAAAATCATGATTATTGATTAAATACCCCCCATCCCCCAAAACAAATACACTCGGTCTGCTGTAGCTTTTTAATATAAATTTTTTTTTTTCTTATTTTACTTTTACTGTTCTAATGAGAATCTTTGATACAACCACATATTAAATCATAATATGGAGTAACCCAACGCCTTTTGAAAACTACTTTATCTGTTATAGTAAACATTACTGCACAGCAGCAAATCACTTTGAAGCAAGCTGACGTTACGAAGTGTCAGCATTTATTTTAGTTTACATTCAGTACAGTGCGTAGCAGAGTGAACAAGCAGGAAGCTATTTAACAAATTCTCCGTTATTTTCCACAAAACTGCAGTTAACGCCTTTTAAACATAGGTTACTTTATCTTTAACTGTATCCGATTACATCGTCCTGTCGCCCAGGCCTCATGATTATACTTTATCTCTGTGAAAACAGCGTCGTTGTGTGTGTTTTCTCTAGTGTCATTCTAACATCTTTAAAAAAGAGCTAGGTTGTGGTAGGTTAACCAGTGTCATCCTGTACTGTAGGCACTCTTCCACGGAAAGTTTATCGACACAGGCTTCTCCCTGCCCTTCTACAAACGCATGCTCAACAAGAAGCTCATCTTGAAAGACTTGGAGTCCATTGATCCAGAGTTCTACAATTCGTTGATTTGGATCAGGTATGTGCTGCCTGAACTCTGCTTTTACAGAGCTTTTGCACACAATTGTCATGTACAGGTATCAGTCATGTCCCAATTCAAACTCAAGCTTCAATACAGTTCCTTTTCTGGTGCTGTTGGATCTTTTTGTTCTCTTAGAAATGTAGAAAATGGATACAGTAGTGGTCAAAACTTTTTGCTGTGTGTGTGTGTGTGTGTATATGTGACGCTTTTTGCATATGTCAGTGTGTTCACAATACTTTATGATTCTAAAACAAGTGTGCTCTTGAAAGAATCTAACAAATCTGTATGATGAATTGGGGCATTGAACTAACTCACAATGTATGAAGTAGTGGGTTTTTTTTTTTTTTCTTCTTTTTTTTTAAATTCTTGTTATGTAATATTCAGAATGCCTCTTCACAGCAGTGATCAAAGATGAATATTTTGTTACTCTAAATCTTACTAAATTTCTATTGGCTGGTGGTTGTTGTTGGGAAATTGCAGTATATTTATGAGCTTTTTGTTCCTAAAATGCTGAAAAACACTAAATATCTTTTTGTATATACCTTGTCTAGTTTACATTAAATACCTTATCTGGTTTACAGTTTGTATTGAATAAAAAATAAATACTTTAAATGTCGCATAAAATACTCCAATCATTCATCATATGAAAAGTTGTATTTTACAGTTCAATATTTGATTGCTGTTTTTCCCCTGATCATGATATTAATTTGGTAGTTTCTTCAAAAATGAGATGCATATCTTTTTAAATATATAATAGACCTTTTTCTTTTTAATTAAACCGCAAGAGCTACTATTACTATTCTTAAACTGTCTGTTCTTGCAGGGACAACAACATTGAGGAGTGCAGTTTGGAAATGTATTTCTCTGTTGACATGGAGATCCTGGGCAAAATCACCTCTCATGACCTGAAGCCAGACGGTGCTAACATTCTGGTGACTGAGGAGAACAAAGAGGAATATATCGGGTATGACCGTTCCCTTCACAGCCAAACAGGCAAAGCATTATGGGACTGCTACGAATGGTGACTAATGCAGATGTGTTTTTGTCTGCCCTCTTCAGGCTGATGGCAGAATGGCGGTTTTCAAGAGGTGTTGAGGGACAGACCAAAGCATTTCTGGATGGCTTCAATGAGGTGGTTCCCTTGCAATGGTTGCAGTATTTTGATGAGAAGGAGTTGGAGGTGGGTTTTGTGTTTGTGACCTCAAAGACTAACATCGGATGCCACATATGTGCCGTAACTGTGGTCAGTGGTACATCAACCCTCCTCCTTGAGATATGCCTTCCTGCAGAGTTCATTTCTCTCCAAACACTCATGGTCCAGCTGTTTGAGATGTAAACAAAACCATTTTGCAGGGGTTTGATGTGAACTGGTGGATTGTAGAGAAACTTACTCACTTTGATTTCTTCATAGTGGTGGTGATAAGTACCGGGGGTCTACTGCGCAAATGTAGCCATTTTATTTTCTGTTGAGAAAGATCAGTGAACCTGTTTGTGTCTTCTGAGTGTTTTATGTAATGTGGAAAGTGGTAGAACAGTGATAAATTGCAAAACTTTTGTAAAACAATCGCCAATGTATGAGGTAACACATTCAGAACCATTACATAGTAACTCTGTGTAGTTTTTAGAGGCGTTAAACTCTTCAGACATCTGGTTTCTATCACCACACAATGAACAATTCTGACTCAGTAGGTGTCTTTAGAAGGTGTCATATCAAACCACTCTGAATGACTTTGTGTACACATTAATAATTGAATCACGCAGAAATTTTGAAAGGTAGGTGGAATCCCCCTTTAAGGCCTTAAATATTCTCCTGAGGTCTTGTATTAATGATGAATTGACATTAGCAAATGGAGAGGAACTAAACAATAGTTACATTAGTCACATAGTTAAGCAGTATAGTAGGTTAATTGTTAGTTGCAGCTCTTTAGATCTCTAGGAGAAGGGTTGGTGGTGACCACTGCGGTACATGGTATGTTTCAGATGGAAAGTGATTTTTGTTGTTTTGTTTTTTTGTGTGTGTTTGTGCTTTAGGTTATGCTCTGCGGGATGCAGGAGGTAGATCTGCAGGACTGGCAGAGGAACACTGTGTATCGCCACTATACCAGAAACAGCAAACAGATTATGTGGTTTTGGCAGGTGTGCTACTCCTCTTTTATTACATTTCAGTCTACTTGATTGTGGCCATTTGCTGCTATGTTGATGAGCATTTAATGTCACTTATCTCATTTAATGCATCACTGTGAAATCTTTTCATCGCTTGGTTTCAGTATCTTGGAACTGAAACTGTTTTGCCTAATGCAAAATGTGCTGTCTATGCAGTTTGTGAAGGAGGTGGACAATGAGGTTCGTCTGCGACTGCTGCAGTTTGTCACAGGCACCTGCAGGCTGCCTCTGGGGGGCTTCGCTGAGCTCATGGGTAAGGAATTAAAGGAAAAATACATTAAAAAATACGAACTCTGCATTAGATGCAGTAGTACAAGTAACTGAAATGTGCCAGTTTTGTTAATTATCTGAGATGACTACATCATGATGTATGTTCTTCTTGCCATGTTAATAGGGAGTAACGGACCTCAGAAATTTTGTATCGAGAAGGTCGGCAAGGACACTTGGCTTCCTCGGAGTCACACATGGTGAATATTTAGTTTTATAATGCATTTTTTTTTACTTCCTGACTCCAAAAGTAACAGTCTCACATATTTAATATTCAGATATTTGAATAATGTGTCTGATTTATTTATTTATTTTTTTTCTGATTTTTGCAGCTTTAACAGGCTGGACTTGCCCCCCTACAAAAGCTTTGAACAGTTGAAAGAGAAGCTGCTTTTTGCAATCGAGGAAACCGAAGGATTCGGCCAAGAGTAGAGAGCAGTTCCTCTCTGGAGTGGTGCCCAGCCAAGTCAGAGAGGGAGGGGGGGGGAAAAAATTGAAAAAAAAATACACAAAAAAGTAAAATTGCACAGATAACTACCAATGTAAATAAGCTATTTTGTCATTTTAAACCAAATCTTAATCCAAAACCTCATTTAGCAATCTCCATAACATTATTCCCCATGATTATGCAAGCATTTCAGCTTTTTCTTATCTTTTAAAAGCAGAAATCTAAGTACAATAATAGTCTTTTCCTTTTGGCTGTTTTTAAAGGAGATTGACAAAAAAAAAAATCAAGAGAGGATTTTATAATTAAACCATACCTACAGCTCTAGTTTTATAGAGCTCTTTAAAGGATGATTGTAGTGTTTGGTCTGGTGCCTGGGTTTTCTTCTTCTTTTGGATCTTCAGTTGTGATTGTGCTGCGCTTGCATGGCTGTCTCCAGAGAAGATCAAACCCCTACCCCCCTTACCCGCAGATGCACAAACACACCATAATCCCTCTTGCATATCATCCAAGAGACCTGGGTTCTATCTGACAGTATTGCTGTTGTCACTTTAGACCAAAAGTATTTTCTCTCTTCTCTCTGCTGCTGCATATTCATGTTCCACTGCATATGAATGCAGTTTTGCAGTGTCCTAGTCCTTTCAGTACAAAAACGTGGGGAAATAATAGCTCACTTTTACTTTTTCTCACCGTCTTTGCATGACACGTTTCATTCTGCTGATGATTAAGTAGGTTTCTTTGATTGATCATACTGCTTTTCCTACTGAGGGAAAAGAACCAATATTATGCTAGCACGTTTACACAAAATCTGTTGGGCCACTCAGTTTGTCATACTGACTAGCACAATACTAGGAGGCAGGCCCAATGAAAACACTCCTTCCAGAAGCATTAGACATCATTCACTACAGCATATCAGAGTCTTTGTGATGTTCTACAGCTGTGTGCACTGACTGACCAGCTGTCTGTAACAGCTGAAAACAGCTGCAGAATGCCTTCTTGCTGGTGTCTCCTAAAGGAGAAACCATCAAGAGGAGGAGCATCAGTGTTGAGCTGAAATACATCTAAATACTGGGGAGTTGATTTAAGATGCTCCTGTAGATAAAGAGGCTCATAATGTGGAAGTGAGATACAGTGTGCCACCATGCCACTTTAGCTTGACTGGGCTTTGCATCCAAGCTTGTTTCCCCTCTTTTTGTTCCCTGTCTTTATCATTATCTCTAATTCATTTGTCTGTTTGATTTTGTTCTTGTTTTTTCTTTTATTGGTAGAGGTGAACACAAGGATTCTGGACAAAAATTGTAACAGTGACAATTATATTGAAGAGGAACAAGCTTGTCATTGTTAGCAAGTGAACTCACTCATCCTAAATGCTGATGAGATGGTCAGTTTTGCTTTATGAAAAGCAACCATTCAAAAATATCACTGTGCCCTCATTTTTAAATAATTGACTTAAGAGTTGATTTAAATACCAGTGTGTAATGTAGTTCATTTTATATATGTCCAAAAGTTTGTAGACACCTGCTTCTTCAACGCTTCTTTTGAACTTAGGAATATTAATAGGGAGTTTATCCCCCTTTGCTGCAGTAACAACCTCTTCTCTTCTAGGAGGACTTTACACTGTTGAAATATTGCTATGAGAATCTGACTGTATTCAGCCACAAGAGCATTAGTGAGGTCAGATACTAATGTTGGATGATTAGTTCTGGATCACAAACATGACTCCAACTGATCCCAAAGATATTAAGGTAAAGCTCCATCACTCCAGAAAACAATTCCACTGCTCCTCAGCCCAATGCTGTCATCAGTGAGTGCACCTCATAGTGGCTTAATTCACTAATTTTGGGGTGTCTGGACACTTTTGGACATAGTGAGTGTATGCAGACATAACAATATGGTGTTATTTCCAAAAGAAGTTACCTCTGCAGCACTTTGACAGCAAGAAGAGAGAGTGACTTTCACATCAAGCAGTTTTAGCAGTCCCACAGGCAGTTAAAATTAATGTAAAATAATTCTTATTACTTTGCCCCAGGTCTCCACATTTTTTTTTTTTTTGTTTAAACACCATGTAACAAACACTTATACATTTTACATACTTCCCTGAGACAGTCTAAGCCTCAGCGGCTGGAGTTGTTGCGGCTGTTTGGTTAGGCGGGGTTGTTTCTCACTTCTATTTATTTAAGTTTTAGTTCTTTGCATTTTGCTTTTCTTTCTAAATGTGAAAACTACCAAAATCTGCCTCTGGTGCTTTCTGTCAGACAATTAGAGCAGGGAGCTGCTCTGTCCACTTCAACAAATGAGTTTGTCAGCAAGCTTCTGCTGTTGTGTTACGATCAAATCATTACAGTAAAATTTCAACACTGTTGCTCAAATATAATTCGTTCATTAGGCTTGTAAATAATGAATGTAAGCTACTCCTCACTAAAAACTAAAACTATTTGGTAAGAGGACTCCATCGCTTTTTGTCTGTAACTATTGGCTTGAACAACAGCAGTTGCTAAATAAACCTCATCACCACGGTACTGTGCTTCCATCTGAAATCGAAAGGAAAAGATTTTGTAACAACAAAAGAGATAAAAAACAAAAGATCCCTACATCTAGAAAAGTACTTAATTGGTTGTATTTGGAGCAGCAACATCAACAGGCTCTGTGACGCCTTGTTCCTATCAGATGAATTGTAACATATCATGTGTAGATAGACACTGTAAACACTGTAAATGCCCCCCAGCTGGAGACTTGTGTATAAAATATTAATTTTTAATCTGCTTTAGCCATTTTAATAGACTAATTTGATTTATGGAAATGAAAACCTACCCTCCATTTTTGTTTTGAGGAAAGAGACAAGAGGGAAGGTGGGTCGTATTGGCTGTTTTTATTCTCTCTCTTTTTCTTTCTTTTCTGTTGGGAGGGAAGGGGGTTATTGGTTGGATCTTGCCTGTGGAGAGAACCATATTTAATAAATGTATATGACCATCTTTACATTGAACTTGAGTTTGTTTCAAATATTGACCACCAATCTCAAAGGTGTGAGTTCTCCAATCAAAATCTAAACGTTTTTAAAAAGAATGTCAAACTCTGCCATCTCCAAATACCAAGTAAGGCACACTTGCATCCCAGTCAGTGTAGTTAAAACTATTTACACTTTATTATTTTAACCTCAAAATAAGAAGCACAAATTAACCCTAACATCAAGTCGTTGAACATGACTTGTTCCCTTTTAAGGCTATTACAATCAAAATAACAGATTAACACAAATTGGGAAAAAAAATATCTAAGGCATTATATTCAGGTCTGTGTTAGATCTGGATCCTGAAGATAAATCTTTCCATCAGCCACCGAGTTTCTTGAGTAGGTCAAGTGCTTCTTTGTGAACCTAAAGGGAATCACAAATTATGAATCTAAAATATGTCCCAAAGAAAAGGTGTGTAAATATAGTATACAGTTAAAAAGTACTGTATCTGATACGGACTCTATATTATTACTGTGTATTATAAAGAGGGTCAAAGGTGGTCTTAACCTGTTTGTCCTCCTCTGTTATGGCAGGATAGTCTCTTGCTTTGTTCAGCCAAAGAACAGCCTTCTCCTGGTCCTTAAGCATCATGTATGTCTTCCCAAGCATCAGAAGATTCTTGCTATAGAAATTTGGGTCAACTGAACAGAAACCAAGCAAAGAAAATGGTGCTTTTATCTCCCTTTCCTCATGAACGGTACCATAAGCTGTCCAGCAAAGGTATATAAAATTTCGTGACATGTTCAAAAATGTTAATACTATACCTTCCTCAGCTTTCAGGAAATAAGCCAAAGCCTAAAAACAGGATATATTTGAATGTCACATGATATTACGAGAGTCATGTCTGCAAGCATATTAAGATTTTACTTGTCTAACTGGAAATACATATACAGTAAAAATGTGAGAGAATCTACACCTGTATGTTAGGTTAGACTTTGCATTTTACCTCCTCATAAGTTGCAGTGGGTGGTGATGCAAAAATAACTGCTGCAACTTTCCGTTGGTACCACGGCAACTCAGCAAAGGCAAAACACCTGAATGAAAAATAGAACAAAAACTTTACTGCACTGTTGCTCATTGATAGCTCACCACAATGTATTTGACAAATAGGAAACGATCAAAAAGCTTGTTAAAAATCTAAAATCAACGAGATGTTATGTAATTTGTGGTTCCAGCAGTACAGTTTCCTCAGTTCAATAGTTTCCTTATTCAACACATACTTACCAGTAACCCAAGATGTGGATCGATGTTGCATCTTTTGGATTGAGGTCTATAGCTCTCTGTAGAAACAACACACTGTTTCAATTGCACTTTTCTGAACCCATTATGCATCTACTTGTAAATGAAGTTTTCCATATGAAAGTGTTTGCATGAATTACAGTTATTTTCATGCCATGATCAGCATATAGCAGCAGTCTGAGCTCTCTAGTAGACCTTAACATAAGTGTTTATAAGTTCTGATTTACTTTTATTGTGTTCTTAAGCACTGACAATTTATTTTGTGCTGGTTAAATTTTCAGAAGATTTTCATTAACTCATTAGCTATTAAAGTTTGTCTTAAAATGTTTAACATAAGACTTTTTTTTAAGACTCAGGCTTTAGTTTAAGTATTTTTTTCTGTACTGTTTGGTTTTATAAACTCTATGGTCTACCAATCAGGGGCATGTGAACATTTGGCCTTTTTGTTAGGAGTCAGTACAACCTCATTGCAGACAAGAAGCAGTAAAATGACCATACTCATCCTCTACAGTAAAAACAAAACAGCTTTATATTACTATAGCCTCCTTTTTTTATTTTTATAGCACTATAAGCATTATAAAATAGCAGTTTGACAGTTATTTTCATACTATAATCAGCTTACCTCCAAATGGTCCTTAATAATGTAAGAATTTCCTATTTTAACCTTGATCCCTTCATAATCGCCTACATCACTCAGGCAGATGGCATACCACTAAATAAAAATAAATAAATGGTGAATACAGTTAAAAGAGAGGCACTCGTGAAGGACAAGCTGATGTTCAATACAGCACATTGTTTACTTTGTGTGCAGCAAAGCAGGCTTCATTTTTCTCCAGTGCTTTTTTGGCGTAGTCGAAGGCCTCAAAGGTGAGCCTTTTTTTCTGGTCAGCAGCAATGTTGGGCAGCAAAGCGAGGTCACGTGAAGCCCGTGCCAGCCTCCACAGGAATTCAGCATCATCACTAGAAGAGCAGGAACACCACATCGCATGATATGTAAAAAACACTCCTCTCCACAGACTTTTTATGAGTTCTGAACTACGAGTTTGTCAGGGCTGTTATTCATACCATGACTACTTTTTCATGACCTACAGAGTAAATACAACACAGTGATTTCTACAATGCAACCAAGCAACCCTACACCTAAGAGTAATACTGGTAACAGTATTAGAGAGAATGAAAACTGATATGGGGACCGTTATACAGTAGCTGAGTTGGGCAGTTAGACCTGAAGCAAAAAAAAGGCTTGGAAACCCAGTGTAGTCTGATCAGATCAAAAAACCTATTTCCACGTATCAGTTTGAGCTCTCTGGTGTTCACTGACATTAGCATTTTTAGGTTTTTCACCACTGTATCATCTAATTAAACACTGACTGTATTCATTTTATGCTTGTTTTACTACTGACAGAAATTCCTTTAATGCATGACTTACTAAACTTTAAATGAACTGTTGTAACCTCAATTTCATCAGAACAGATGCTGCTCTTGGTTTGGATGTTTCATTGTTTTTCCTTTCTAGGTCTGTGCTACAGAATGTGGGGTTTTCCAATTGGGCACATGAGCATTTGGCCTTTTCGTTAGGAGTGAGTACAAAAATGCTGCAGATAGGTTGACTGATGTTTTCTCTCTCTAAATCACTAAAATGATTACATTCATCCTCCACAGCAGGAGAAAAAACTCAGAAAGGCTCTTAAATTAGCAGCTGCAGTAACGAGTTGTATTGTAATAATACAGGGTGATTCAAAAAGATTCATCTGATTTCAAAATGATTTATTTTACTTGTAAATCATTACAGATCAATGCAGTAAACTGTAAATGGTTTAAGTGAGCATAAAGTTTTGTTATTTTACAAGTGCTCAGTGTGAACCTCCTCCAGCTGTACAGACAACATCAACGGCATAGTCAAATTCATCCTATACTCGATTGAGCATGTCGGGTGTCGCTGTGCTCACAGCTCTTTCAGTGCGATTTCGGAGATCATCCAGTGCTGCGTAACCGACGATGGATGCTCTGAGCTGTTGGAGGTTCACTGCAGACGAGAATCACGCTGCACAGTTATGACAGATTCACTCTTATTGAAGTGGAGAACGCAAAACGCTTTCTGCTCAGGGGTCGCGTCTCCTCACAGACTGAAGGGAGCCATCTTCCAGTGACAGTCTATGGGTCTGTCTAACTCTATGACCCCCTCTTTCAATTGATATGTGATTGGTTCCTAGGCGCCTCATGGTTGTAAAAATATGGCTGAATCTTTTTGAATTACCCAGTATAACCTTAAAAAAAATCACCACTTATTTGTCCTTGATATGAATTTGTAGGTAGGTATCGTCTACGAGGAGGAACACAAAACTGAACAGCTCTGAATTGTATGCTCTGGTATAGACAACAGTTGCTGTGTGCTCACACAAGTAGGAGCTGCTGACTATTGAAAGTAACAGAGCAGAACAAAGTAACAAATCTCTCTCTCTTTCAGTTTGGTCTGTGACCAACAGTGCTGAAAAAAGACAGCTTCTCATCTATACTGGCCAGAGTAAATGGGACCTTGTCTTTTCAAGAGTTCTACACAATATATTCAAACAAATCCAGACACCCCTCCCAATTAGTCAATGCAGCTAGTTTAACGTGCACCCGCTGCAGATACTGGCTTACATAAGCTCCCTTGAAAAGCACTGTCAATAGAATGGGACAATCTAGAGCAGTCAATCATGAGCCTAAGGTCACCGTGCCCAATGCCAAGTGTCATTTAGAGGGGTATGAAGCCCCACCACCACTGTGGAACTGAGATGGAGTGATGGAGCTCTATCCAATACTTTTAGAAGAGTGATGTCCAATCTTATCCATAAAGGGCTGGTGTGGCTACAGGTCTTCATTCCAAATGAGAAGGAGCACACCTGATTATACCTGTTTAATCAATTGCTCAGCCTTTGTGTTGTCGCTTTGTTGAAATGAAAACCTGCAGCCATAGTGGCCCTCTGCAGTTAAGACTGCACACCCCTGCTTTAAGAGAAGTTGGAGTGACATTTGTGAGCCAGAACTAATCATCCAACATCAGAACCTGACCTCACTAATGCTCTTGTGGCTGAATGCAATCAAATCCACACAGCAGTATTCCAACATCTACTTTAAAGTCTTCCTTGAATAGTTGAGGCTGTTACTGCAACAAAGAGGGACAAACTCCCTATTAATGCCCCTGATTTCAGAAGAAATGTTGGATGTTGGACGTGTCTACAAACTTTTAGACGTATACCGAATGTATAATGTATAATTAAGAATTACTTTTTTAAACTTTAGAAAATTCTCGTAGGATTTAAATAAAACAGAAAAAAAGAAATACTTTTGCTGGCGTACATACTGAGTCACCAAAGAGTGACAAGGCCAAATTCAGCGGGCCCTGAAAAGACCCATTGTCTCAGCTTTTCATCACCTAAAACAGAGCCCACTCTGAGTGCACTGAGGGACACTGCCTGCCAGTAACACTCACCTTTCTGCTCAGTGTCAGAGACTGACTGTTAGCCATTTCTCCATAATGGCCAAGTGCAATCAGAACTGAATCAACAGAAGGCCAGTATTTACCTGTCCTTGTACTGTAGCAGCAGCTGGTAAAGCTTCTCCGTCTCTCCACAGCTGTATAGGTAATCAGCTTGCTCTAAAACCTCTTCGGCTGAACAGACGGAGAGAAAAGAGTGATAAGAGAAACTGGAGTCAATGGCATAAATTCTTAAGTACCTTGGAAATGACCTGGAAATATGAAAGTCATTGAAAAACGTACCTTTGTCAAGTGCAAAGACTGCAGTTGCACAAGTCACCTTCTTGTGCGCTTCATATCCCAGATAAGATAGTGCTGTCAGGAATGCGGTGGTTTTAGCCTAATTTGGGCCAAAGCACAACACATTAAACACACCACTGACTGGAAACCCACACGTTTTTTCTTAATGTATTTAGGTTCTTTTTAAAACCCTTTTTTTTTCTTGTTTTTTATTCATTCCTAATGTCCTTTTTTCTTTTAGTATTCTGTAAAGCACTTTGAACTGCTCTTTTGTATTAAATGTGCTACATAAATAAAGATTATTATCAGTAGTAGTAATAGTATTATTAAGTCACAGAGTGCAAAGAAAATCAGTGCAAAGCACATCTTGAATTTTATGATGCTTTTATAAACCAGTAATCTGCTGCAAACATCTTGCCAGAAAGCCTCAAGACAGTTCTGCTTCCTGAATGGTTTCTACTTCTGCACACAGAATGAGAAAAGCACAGAGGGAAAAGGAAAACTGATCAAACTGCAGATAACGTCGCCCTGCCAGTGTCGGGCTGCTCTTTCGCCCATATCTGCTTAGCCGAGTTATTTGGTTTAGTGACCCTGCAGCTGAAGCTGTCAGGAGTCACAGTCCTGGCGAGCAGAGCGGCGCTCAACTGAACTTACAATGACAACAGACAACAGGTCTAGACTACTGATTAAAACAGTGAAGTCCAAGTTCTAAACGATAAGCGAGATTCGGCGAGATAAAGGAGGTAAAAGGGCAGTCAACGAGTGCAACTCTCACATGAGCCGGTGTGATCCTCCGTACAGCCCCGCACTGCTGCTGCCCGGTGTGCCCGGCTGGTCTCCGGTGGTTCTTCACCTGCCTGCTCACCGCCCGAGCAAACGACCTTAACGGAGAGACAGAGGCCGCCATGCTTCTCCACTGACCCTCAACTCAGGGAGACCACAGCGTCCGAGTGTGACTGGGTGGATATGAACCTGAGCAGGGGGTAGAAAAAACACTGCCCTGTAACCGAAGAGGCTCTAACCACTCCAGGTTATCTCACAGCCAGGGTTGCCAAACACTCTAACAAACTCCCCGAATTAAGAAAAACGTCCGACTTCACCTCGTTTTCACAAATTTTATTATTTACGTCTATTTGTAACTAACTGGCTAACTGGGTCAGATGACCAATTCTAAGATACCTAATTCAACTGAGAAGTACGAAAATTACATTTAACGTGTATGTCAAATCCTCCTCCTCCTCCTCTTCCTCCTACTACTAATAGGGTAATAATAACTGTAACAGTAGTATTAGCCATACTGGACAGATTTCCTCTTATTTTTCTTCTTCTTCTTCTTCTTATTATTATTATTATTATTAACTGTCAAAAGCTGTACTGGTAGTATTGCTACTCTGTATATTAATATCTAATACAGTATATGTCAAAAAAACATGGAAGTCCAAAGACAAATTAAATACGCGATTTGCTTAAACATGGCAACCCTGCTGTTTTTGTTTTAGACTCGTGCCTTTCCGCATCATCCGATTACGACACACTGCCATGATGGCTGATGAGGAAGCAGATCAAAGTCCTAATAAGACTTCTAACGTCTCTAGCAGATCCTCCTGCGGCTCCTAAAGTAACTTAAAGACTTAAAATGTGCTTTATTTACACTTTTACTGCGGGGAGCGAATTTAGAGCTGGGATGAAACCTCACACGCTTTTATAGGTTTAATGTTTCTGTAGCGCGCTCAAAGGAACACACAGTGTTTGGCAACAGACGAGCAGACATAATAAAAGTCCTCAGACCGCTCCAGCGCTAACGTTAAAGTCATCAACCCCACTGACCCTTATGTACATCATTTTCACCCTTTTCTCTTTTCCCATTCATTCCCACGCTCGATGCTTAGTTACTGTATTTTACAAGGTTATGTGGTGTTAGCTTAAAAGTGTGTAGGAATATGCTTCACCCTTACTTTTTCACTTGCACTCTATGATTGCTTTAACTTATTTGTATTTCCCTCAAAAAAATCTGGTTTGTGTCCACCTTATTTTTCTGGCAGATAGGTTACATTTTTACATTTGTTTAAGTTACTACAGAAATAAGAAGTATAATGTGTATGATCATAATAATCAGAGACTATAAATGTCATTAGCAAATACGTTAGATTACTTATGGTTTTCGGTTCAAAAATAGCCAGTTTTGTTTTATTTACATATATTTTTTGTGCACAACATGGCATTTATCCAGTTGTGTTAGATTTTATCTCTAAAGAGTGAGAATTGTCATTACCGTCTCACAGTTGGCTGCAAAAGTAAAGACAATTTTGCTATTTTACGTTGAGAAACGTTGTTCTTGAATTGTTGCACTATTTGCTCGTGCAGTCTTTCACAGAGTGGTGAACCCCTCCTCATCTGTACTTCTGAAAGGTTCAGCCTCTCTGGGATACTCTTTTATACCCAATCATGTTACTGACCTGTTGCCAGTTAACCATCAGGTGTTTTTTTAAGCATTACACAACTTTGCCAGCCTTTTATTGCCCCCGTCCCAACTTTTTTGTAATGTGTTGTTGGCATCAAATTCTAAGTGGGCATATATTTTTCAAAAAACAATAAAATTTCTCATTTGATTTGTCTTTGTACTATTTTAATGAAATACTGAGTTTAAATGATTTGCACATCATTGAATTTTGTTTTTATTTACATTTTTCACAGTGTCCCAACTTTTTTGGAAATGGGGTTGTATTTTACTTGATTTGTAATACCATTAATGTAATCTTTGTAGACTAAATGCTTCTCTTGAATCAAAATGTAATTAACGGTTTTGATTCAACAGATATGCGTTAGGTTTTGTGTTTGTGCTTGTTTATTGTGATTATGCAAAGCAGTAGCTGCAATGAGCACAACAACCTGTCAGGTGATTTCAGTGATCCTTTCTTTTAAACTTCAGAAAAGAAAATTTCAACAGAATGTCACACTGTTTTTTACACACATACATGTATTGTCTAAGCCGCGTATCCTTCTGGGTTGCGGGGGGTGCTGGAGCCTATCCCAGCAGTCATTGGGCAGAAGGCAGAAAACACCCTGGACAGGTTGCCAGTCCATCACAGGGCAGACACAAAGACATTTATAGTCACACACACTCACACCTAGGGGTAATTTAACATGTACAATTGGCCTGACTGCATGTCTTTGGACTGTGGGTGAAAACCAGACCACCAGGAGGAAACCCACACAGACACGGGGAGAACATGCAAACTCCACACAGAAAGGATCCTGGTCACCCGGCCAAGGAATCAACTAAAAAACACAATTTTTATTTTAGTTAATTAACTAAAATAATTTAATAATTTCCTTATATGTTCTTTAATATAACTACATCCAGAGGTGGAAAAAGTATGAGTACTGCTCCAAAATCTCACTTAATTAAAACTGAAAGTCAAAAACTGACGTTTAAACAAGCTCAAGTAAACAAAAGGAAAAGTAAATTGTGTAGTTTAACACACAGTTAAAAGTCAGGACATGCTTTAAAAAAGCTTTGCATTAACTTTAACCCCATAAAATACCAGGGCTTAATACACACTAAAGCTTATTATTCAATAACTACAGAGACTTCAATGCTGGTTGAGCTAGGTTATAGAAGTGTGTAATTAAACTTTGGACCTGCCGACAGGCCCTGGCCATTCAAGGGGTTAAATCTGATCATACTCTATGTATCCCAGACTAGCAAATCTTGTCTTAACCCTTTTCTACAAGCTCTTGTTGTGGTGCAGTGACTAATGGGTGACACTGGTCCTCCCACAAATATGTGGAAACTTCACTGACGATAACAAAAAAACAGTTAAATAGAAAAGACATATGTTTTTTCCTTGGAAATGTAATTCAGTGAAAGTACAAGTATACAATTCCAATAAAACTAGCATCAAGAACAGATCATCCAACATAATGCTTAAGTATAGTAAGAAAGTACAATCTCTCAAGTACTGTCCACCCCTGACCACAACTACAGTAGATCCACAGGTCAGCATTCATGCTTGAGTTGTTGCTCGCTGCAGCCATCCTCCCCCTACTGGCCTCTGTCAGTACTGCAGTAAATAGCCAGTGCTCTTGATCACCTTCACATGCTTAGTTATAATGGTTTTTGCTGTATTCATTACAAATCCATTCCATGATGATGTTCAGGTCTCTCAGTGCTCCAGACTGTTGAACACAAAATCAGAAATAAATATAGAATACAATAGAATGAATAGAAATCTGCACGGCTTGGTAAGATGTCTCTGATTGTTCATGGAAATGTGATGAAGATATTCTATGTAGTTTTGCGGGACACTTTAGGATCAGATGATAAAATCTGTACTGATCAATTAGTATTGATCTCTGTCATGATCTTGTTTGTGGGCGAGTTCTGCTTTAAAGGTACGATAAGCCTCGGCAGCCTTCTTTTACTGAGGAAGCACCAAAACGGTGAGTATTACTGTCAGACCTATTATTGCTGTCAAAAATACCACACTGCAGATTCGTACTTGATTAAAATCACAGAAAACATGTCTGTAATCACTTAATTTCCACAGTAAAACTAATCCAGCTTGAACAGGGCCAAAACAGAGAGCTTTTCTACTCTTTGGAACCTCAAGTACTACTACATAGAGCAGGTTGATAACCTCAATCTGTATTGTGATAAAGTTTTCCTTCAAATATTTAGACGATAATGTTTTGTCTAAAATTCAACACCTGAATTTTAATAGGGCAGATATTTTTGTCTAATTTACATTTAAATAAACACAGGTTGAAAGAGTTGAAAAAGTTTCTGATGACTCTCGGTGGTTGCGTTTTGCTTTGTTTAGTTTTGCTTCAGTGTTCTTGTTACTGATCTCTGCCTGCCTTCGACTCCTGTTTTTGAATGCATTTCTGTATTAAGCTGATTTTTGTTTTGGACTGTGTTCTCCTCAGCCTCATTAAAGAACACCTGCAAATTCACCCAGCCTCAATGAATTACACATGAAGTATACAGGTAGATTTTATGCTATGAAAATACCGATAAATATTGATATTGTGATATCAAACATAACCATTTTAACTTCGTGTATTAAAATTCATTTGTTGTCTTTTGAGAGAAAACACTTGCTATATTTCTTTAAAGTTACGTGGTCTTGTTTTGAATGTTGGTATATCTGTTTTTGTTTTCTATGGAAATGTATCACACTATGGTATGACCCCACTCCACAGTGTATTATTCAATTTGTGTATTGTTACATCTCTAATACAATGAATTACATGATTATTACAATATTAGTATTATTTCCATATAAAATAAAACCCAAATATTTTGAAGCTGCCTGATTTATTTTAAATGGCACTCAGTTGCTGCAGAGGAGTGATTATGATAGAAAGGAGCATCTCACTGTGTCCTGATGTCCAGATTACTTCAGAGAAATGGAGAAGAGGAGCGTGCAGCTGATAGAACAGGTAGAGATGGGTGGGCTTAAATACAGAGGGGTCGAGTAGTGAAGTTTCAGGCCTGCTGTTTTTTAGATTTGTTTTCTTTCTTCTGAGCTTTTTTTCCTTTTCCATTCATTCCACTGTGGCCTCTGGAGCCTGTCCTTTCCTTCTTCAGCACAGTCTACTCTTTGGTCTGCTCATAATCTGCCACTGCAACCACTTTTGAGAAGTTAAAATGATTTTTATGATGAATGAAAACATACAGTTTTGCTTTGTGGAAAGAAATATCATCCTGTACATTTTTGCCACATTTGTTATTTCACATCAAAACAAACAGAACAATGTGGAAGGTGCTGACTCAAACATTTGATGTCACTGTAATTCAATATAAAACTACTTCTGTAACTGATTATGTGCTTATATAAGAACATATAAATAATTCATATAATTTGAATGTAGAAGAAAATGAAAATATCTCCAAATCTATAAGACTTAAACTTGTAACTGATATCAGACAGGCACATTGACATTTAGGCACTGGGTATTCTATAGGAAACCTATGGCTAAACATGTGAGGTTCTAAAGAAGTGTTTATGAACAATATAACTAGTATTGTGAAGAAATTATAT